TCATGAATGAATCAGTTTATGAATGGTTAAATCATTGTTGTTTTGTTATGTTATCAAGGGCATTGCAATGTGCAGTGATAACAAGGACACTGAGATGGAGGCATTATTTTCATGGAGATTTTTTTCTTTCTTTTATATGGCAATCAATGATGCATCTTAGATGGTGTTATTCCCCCCTCCACATGAGGGTCGACTTTCCCAACTTTTCTCTCTGCCCTCTCTCGTGCGTTTTGGTTTGCACCCTCTCTGTTTGAGAGTCTCCTCACCCTCTAGTGGTGATTTTGCTTGGTCATTTCTGGTGGTTCTTATCCACCCTTTCCCATAGCCAGTGTTGTTTTCCTCTTTTTTCCCCATCTCCTCTTCCTCTCCTTGTCCCAAAACTCAGATCTTGGATCGCTCCCTGCTCGGCTCGAATTCTCGCAACCTCTTCCGCTCTACTGTGTCATCCTCTTCAGATCCATGGCTCCATGTTGGCATCTGTTGGAGCGTGATTTTGGAATCTCCTTAAAGCGCTTTTGTCGCTTATTGGTCGCTGGAGGCTGTATACATCCTCCCAAGACATCTCTTCGAGTTGCTATGTTCTTTGTTCTTGGTGTTATCTTGATGGTGGAGTTGTTGGGTTCCTTCGGTGCTGGTGCAGACTGGTTTTCCTTGTGGTGGTGGCGGCGGCTAGGGTTTTTTTATGTTTGTTTGTTATTTTGCTGGCCTTAGTTTGTATGTTTTGTTGGGCTTTTGTTACTTTTTTCATTTTGTTGGATCTTATTTATTGTGTGTAGTTGGGCCTTTTGTTATGGGATTGTGTTTGTGATCCTATGTCATTGGGCTATCTACCAGAATTTCCTTATCTAATAAATTTCACGTTGACCAAAAAAAAAGAAAAAGATAGGCATCTTAGATTCAATGCTTTTTGTTGTTTCGTTAGATGAGAAAACATCAGTGGCATCAAGCGGGCAGGCCCTTTCTTTTGTGGGTAACTTAACAAATTTCTTACTCAGATCAAGTCTAGGTGCGGAAAGGCTATAATGAGGGCTTTAAGTGAGGAGGTTATTTGAGGAGGTCAAATCTCACCATCAACAAATGTAAAGAAATCATGGGACTTAAATATTTTAAATGTTTTGACGGTCGGATCGGTCTCCTCA